GAGCAAATAGGGAATGCAAAATAGGGAATGGTTAATTAGTACCCAATTGAAAGTGCTTATATGTACATCAAAACAATGAAATAGCTAGTTTTTTGTTTTGTTTTCATAAATAATGCAAAAGATTCCAAGACTCAAGCAACTTTATACAAAACACAGTAAATGTGACTGGAAAAGACTGAGTAGTTGAAGAGTCAATTAACATATGAATATATTATTTCAATAATTCAGGCAAACTCTTTTTTGTAAAAAAAAGACTGTGCCTTAGTGACAGTTAAGAATGAAAATTATCTCCATATTTCACACAAATGTTTAAATTTCATATCAAATAAACAAGACAACATTATGTTTGTGGGGAAACACTAAGGATCAAGTTTACCATGTGTCATTAAAAATCATTTAGCTGTTAGAATATGGATATAAAGCTGAAAATTAAAAGGTAGTTTGCTGTGTTTCTAGATTACCTATTAATAGTTCAAAGAACTTAGAATCTTTTCAGCTGCAGCCAAATACTTTTAACAAGTAACATATTTTAACTCAGCAGAAAACAATTTCTTTGAGCTATGCCAAAAAATAATAAACATGTCACATTTTTCTCAATTGCATGATAATAGAAAAAATGTTGGAAACGATGTTTATAAATCTGCAATGTGACTCTTACATGACAAGGATCTTTATGTAAAGAGGAAACAGATTGCTTTGTTTCAGCTTGCACGTCTATGTTAAATGAACAACTTTTTGTGGTAAAGCAAATTTGGTCAATAGATAGTTTGGTTTCTAGAATCTGGAAGAGCTTATATATATATCATTTATGTCTCACATATACCCTCTATTATGTTTACTGTCTTACAGTTCTCTTAGTGTCTTATGTAAAACCATAATTGGATAAGGAAATATCCATACAGCCTTGGATATGTCCACTTAGTACAGCAACACCAAAATTTCCTCCTCAATAATCTTCTTGATCCATCCCAAGCTCTTTGGAACCATAATATTATTAGTAAGGTAATAATACTGTCATACATCCTACACGTTTAGGAGAAATTTCTAGAGTTGAATTAACTGTCCTTTATTTTCCCTGCTCTTGATTCCCTGAAGCTCCCTTTAGACCCGCTTGTTTTCCACACTGACTTGTTAATGCTATTGAAAGAAATGTGTCTTCCAAACATGCTCAAGGATGTTACTAGTAGAACCTTCCTATAAATACTTTACTTATTTATTTTCAACATTTCTGATTTCTTATCTAAAATGTTCTATTTGCATGGCAGATTATTAAATTTGATAACCAGTAAATATAATAACGAATAATTAAACTTAATGTTAGTTTTAAACTTATTTTTATTAGGACAAAACACACAAAGGTGCTATATTTAAAGTAAAAAATATCCAACAAGAGTCATTTTTTATTTCAACCTAGTATTTCCTTCTTTACTCTGAGAGAGACAAAATAACAAAGACTTGGTCAGAGCAAAATAGATAAGACTTCAAATTATAGCCCAGGCATTTATGAGCCGTGTGATTATGGATTATTTGATCTTTGTTCTTCCTCAGTTTCTTCATCTGAAAATTAGGGATATCAACAGTCTACACTGCACTGAATCCTAGTGAATATTAAAGGAACTAAGGTACACAGTTATTGTTATAGAGCGAGTGCTCAGAAAATATTAGACTGAATATTAACATTGAATTTAATATTTTAAAATGAGTATTTATTTTTGAGAAAGAGAGAGAGACAGAGTGTGAGCAGGGGACAGGCAGAGAGAGAGGGAGACACAGAATCCAAAGCAGACTCCAGCTCTGAGCTGTCAACACAGAGCCCGATACAAGGCTTGAAGTCACTAGCTGTGAGATCATGATGTGGGCCAAAGTTGGAGGCTTAACCAACTGAGCCACCCAGGCACCCCAAATTTGATTAATATTTTTATTGTCATTCCCACTCTTTTATTATTCCTCTTGAATTCCCTGGTGAGTGTTCCTGGTTTACATAAACTGTTCTTGTATTCCTGGCCCATAGTATTTTCACATAAGGTGTCATTTGGATTCTATGAGCATTGTGAGAGTTATAGGGTAGGAATTATTATTCACCTTTTCCAAATGAGGAAACCAAGTTATGTTACCTTTTCAAAGATCACACAGAAAGTAAAAGACAAAGTCAGAATTAGAATTCTATTTTTTTTACCGTATTGCTTTTTATAAGGTCATTTTAGGTGGACATTCCTGGGCAGCAAATAGTCTAACATTGATGGCATTGGTTGACATGATCATTATGAAGAGGTCTCCTTCTCATTTGTTACAAATGTCTGGAATATCCAGCATTTATGTAGCAATTAATATGTACCCATACTATATAATGTATGTGTAAACTATGTACTTCTACCATATACATAACAACTCCATGTGACTAGCACTTTTATTATCTCTCCTTTACAGATAAGAACACTGAGCATCAGTAAACAGTGAAACAAGGATTTGAAAGGGGGTACTTTGCCTCCAAAGCCTCTGCTCTTAACCAGTATGTCATGTTAACTTTCAGACAAAAATTATATTGCAAACTTGACTGTGTTTAAAATTTCCATTGCTGTGCAAGCAGTAAATTTCAAACATGTCACATTGTTTCTAACAAAACTAAAACCCCAAGCCCAAAGCTTTGCTCTGTTGAAATTGTATATGTGCAATAGAAATGATTTTCTAGATTTGTACTCTTACAGGCAAGACTGCTGCATTAATTTGCAGAACTAGGTACAGAATGAAAATTTAAGGCCTCTTTAAAAAGTTATTAAAAGTTTCATTTGGAATGTGACAGTAGACCATGAAAACAGTTGTGTGGTCCTTTATAGCATAAGGTCTTAAATTGCTAAAAGGTGGCACACCCATGACATAAGCCCTGTTCACAGAGCCCATAACCTTGACTCTGACCTTGACTCTGTTCAGTTACTTCCTGTAGATCTGAATAAAGACTCATAATATGAAAAGAATGGAAGTAATGGAGAACTTTTATTAAGTCTGCTCCCTAATCACTCCAGCTTCTCCATTATAAGCATCCTGAGGCAATGGGACCTTTGGTGAAGAAGGATACGGAAGAGAAGTAAGACTACCAGGCCACAGATCTGATCACTCTTTCTGCGAGAAAGCAGAAGTATAGACCATTTTTCATCTTAGCAGTCCAGAGTCAGGATGTGGGGAGAAGAAAGAGGAAGTTCTGGTGAATTTATACCACCCCACAAAAGACTCACACTTGTCACTCATCAGAATGGTGCAAAAGCCTGTGAGGTATATCCATGTGACCATAGTTATTTGGAGGGGAGTCATGTTAGCTTATGTTTAAAATTAATAAGCCTGGCACTGATAATCCAAATACTTTGATGTTTGCCCTTTTAAAATAATAGACAAAAATGATTGTTTTAATCTTTTTCCCTTTTATATATAGAAAAGAGCTGAATTTATGAAAAATAAGTTTCATTAATTCTTGAACCTTGAGTCAATCTGTGGTGTACATTAAAGTTATCAGTCAACCTTGTAGGCAGTCAAGAATCAGCAGGTGATTTTAAAATAAAAATATATAGGTTTATAGATTTATGGTTCTCTACTTACAGATTCTATGATCTTGGGAAAGGTGATTGACCTCTCTGAGTTCCTGTTTTTTAATCCATGAAATGAAAAATTTTTTAAATAGAGAAAAGCCTCAGAGAATTTTGGAAATGTTCGTTACATAAAGGTGCTTAGTGCAATATGTGGAATATCATAAGAACCTGGCAAATTATAGAGACATTATTTGAAATAAATACACATGCATTTCACATATAAATATACTTATATTCCATGCATGCATATACTCTTAAATATGGTGTGTGCGTGTGTGTGTGTGTGTGTGTGTGTGTGTAATTTTTTTAAAGTTTCTAAATTTTCAGCTTTCATATATTGGCGAAGGGGAAATGCTTGGCTAGAAGAACTGACTGTAATAGAATTTCTTTCGGAGGTTCTGCCTGTCACTGCTAACTCAACATTCAACTTTATAACATTCAAATGAAATTACCTCTGCCTATAAGACAGGGACTTTCTCTGCATAAACCTTATGCCTCAGATCAAGCAGAATGAGTGTTTACTTGAATATAAATCTAATATAATCCTCAGAAAGAGCCAGGTATGCTTCCTGTCTGAGGTTATAGTGATGTGCTTTCAGGTGCTATGCTAAACATTGATTAGAAAGTATGAATTGCCACGTATTGAGGTTATCTTACATAGACACCACCTCTCTCCCTAATCCCTAGCCATCTGATGTGTGTGTGTGTGTTTTTAATGTGTCTCTTTACTTTAATCACAGAATTTAAAATGGGAAATACCTGAAGCTTTGGTGTCTATTTTGCTGGAACACTCACAAAGCATATACCCAGATTTGCTTTCAGAATTTCAGTTTTATAGCTCTCTCAAAATTGTTGATAATAGCTGTTTAGTTATATGCCCAATATAGAATTCACTAAAAACTGTCAAGTTGAAAAGTAAAGAGAGGGGTGCCTGGGTGGCTTAGTCAGCTAAGTGTCCGACTTTCGCTTAGGTCATGATCTCGCGGTTCGTGGGTTCAAGCCCCGCGTCGGGCTCTGTGCTGACTGCCAGCTCAGAGCCTGGAGCCTGTTTCAGAGTCTGTGACTCCCTTTCTCTCTGACCCTCCCTTGCTCACGCTGTCTCTCTCTCTCTCTCCTAGAAATAAATAAAACATTTAAAAAAAATTTATAAAAAAAAGAAAAGAGAAAGCATTGAAAAGCAGAAGCAATTGTATATCCAATATAAACTATACTAACTTTAAATATGCAAATAAACATGAAAATAACCAATGCTTCTCTGTTGTTTTGATAGTGAATGAGATGATTTCAACAGTAGTCATTTCAAAATTTGTTTGTGAAATGAGTAATTTGTTTTGTGTCTCAGACTCACGGGAAGTTCCCCTTGAACTGTACTTGGGAGTTCAACTGAATAAATTATTCCTGGACTTTTGAATTATTAATCTTGTCTGCATGTTATGCAAATTGGGCTTCACTATGTCCAGTGGCACAGTCTTGGGTTAGAAGCTGTATCAGGTTGCTGGTGAAGAATTTCCATCAAGGGATCAGGGCCTTCTAACGGAATGGTAAGTTATAATGCAATTCATGTCATCCAGGTATACAAAGTAATGCCAGACTCCCCTTAAGGATTTCTTTTAAAAGTAGCCTATGAGCAGTGAAGATTTTAAATAATGTTTAAATGAACTGAACTGTCATTCATAGCATGTAGAACAATAAAGGAAACTAAAATGAAATTATATTTTTCCCTACATTTATTTTTCACTAAATTGAATGTCTTTGTTTAATTGCAAATACTTAATTAATTTTACTTAAAGAGGTTTGTTATATTTGCTAATGTCTTGGTAGCATATTTCAACAAAAAGTAATCAGATTTACTTAAATATAACTACTTATTGAGAGAAATTTAATGTTCTTATATCATATGAGAAAATCAATCATATATAATATTTCATGTTTAAGATATAATATGTCAGAGGGAATCTTAAGGTATTCTAAAAATTAAATTTAGCATTTATTTTAAAATTACAATTATGGTTGTAAAAGTTACAATTATTCAAAAATGTAATTCACTAAAGAGAAATGACAAATTGCAGAAGCCATTGCCATTACATCTTCCGGAACGTTTTATAATTTGTGAGTTATTTTTTAATTCATAAACATATAATTTAATATCTTACTTTTTAATATCCTGACTTATGGCGTAAATTCTGGAATATACAAAAAATGAAGTTATCAATACTAAGTGATTGTATCTTTTCAGTGTGAATATATATTTTTTTGTTCAAGCTATTTATTAATGAAAATAGCAGTTTGTTTAAAAAAAAAAGACAAGGCATGTAAATTTGCCTTAAAGAAGCAGTTAAGGATTAAAATGCATGTGATCTTTGTTTAATTGTGGTGACTGTAAGAAAAAACAAAGGCTAATAAGCTATCGAGTATGTTTTTAAATTTTTGCTTCAATAATGTACATTTTTAAAAAACTGAATACACTTGAGGTGAAAGAAACATTAATTGAAATTAAAAATTAGCACTACTTACCTGCTTATGTGAGTATTGACTATTGCTTGAAATTTAATAATTCTAACAGATTTAGATATACGTTTGGATATATAATTAAAGATTTCACTTTAATTACCAGTAGCCAAAAAATAAATAAATAATTCATCCAAAGCACTTAAACCCTATTTATCATGATTTCTGTTTCCTGAAAGTTAAAAATACAACCACTAGAAAGTAGAAGAGAGAATATTAATTTTTCATGAAGGAATTTCCCTTCAGCTGAGCATTTCCCTTAAAGGATCAACTTACATCATCAATTTGTAGAATTGTAATGGCCACAATGAAACACATTATCTCATTTGGACTCTAACACCCAGAAAATTATGGGTCTCAGTGAGATTTAAACTGGCCTGCAAATATAAGACAGCCTGACATTTATGAACCATTTATTAATATTAAGAACTTAAGAAAATTACCTTAAGAGTGAAATAAATACCAAAAAGCAGATTATAAAATATCATAAAGAGCATAATCTCATTTTTATAAAAAATAAATTCAAATAAATATTAAACTGTAGGTGGGTATCCAGATATTAGGACTCAGTGGTTTATAGACAGTTTTTATTTCCTCTTTTTGCCTACCTGTACCTTCTTAGTGTTACAGAATAACATTCATTTTTCAAAGTCGTTTTTTAAAATAAAAATAAAAATATAAAGCAACCACTCCGAGAAGCAGGACAAAGGTGACTAGTCATTCAGTTTCCTTATTCCAGTTCTGGTGTGCTCTACCACTGCTACTTCCCTGAATCTCCATTCCCAGTGGACAGCTTGAAGCAGAAGAAGTCTCCATGGCTTCAGCACGACCCCTGACTTACCCAAGTGGTAGTTACTGGGAATCAGGCACATGTAGTAATGCACGTCTTCCTGGCTGTCTTTTTCTGCATTAGCAGTCAAACCTTCCTGCTGCACAGAAACTGCTGACGTCAGTCTGTGCATTTAAGAACTGAGTGGTCAGAAAAATAAGAGTGAGGACTAGAAAAAAAAGGAAATTCAAAGCGAAACAACTGAGTCTTAAGGAAACTTTCTATTGTCTTACTTTACATACCTTTGAGTGTGTGCACCTGCTTTTTGAGCATTCCTCAAATAACGAAGTTGCCCAGATCTGAGCTCTGAGGAACTCCAACAGTCGAGGCATGGGCAAGTAGTCCACCAAGAAAGAAAGTAGGACAGTGAGAGGGTGGCCATGTCATAGAAGGCAGGGAAGAATGTACTTCCAGAAGTCATGGAGTTGAAAGCATCGGGGTTAAAAATAATAGTGGAAAACTGCCAACGACCTATAAAAGAAAGCCTATTTTTTTTAAAAAGACCATTAATCTTTTTGCTGTATTTCTAGAAATTCTAATAATATCAAACATATGCTGATTTGGGAAAAACAAACAGAAAGTCCAGATAAACGGAAAGGAAAAAGGACACATTAAAAATTACCTGGTGGGGCGCCTGGGTGGCTTAGTCGGTTAAGCGTCCGACTTTCGCTTGGGTCATGATCTCACGGTTCGTGGGTTCGAGCCCCGCGTCGGGCTCTGTGCTGACTGCCAGCTCAGAGCCTGGAGCCTGTTTCAGACTGTGACTCCCTCTCTCTCTCTGACCCTCCCCTGCTCATGCTGTCTCTCTCTCTCTCTCCTAGAAATAAATAAAACATTTAAAAAAAAAATTACCTGGTATTGGGGCACCTGGCTGACTTAGTTGATTAAGTACCAGACTTTGGTTCAGGTCATGATCTCATGGTTCGTGAGTCTGAGCCCCAAATTGGACTTTGCTGTCAGCATGGGGCCTTCTTTGGATCCTGTCTCCCTCACTCTGCCCCTTCCCTGTTCTGTCTTTCTCTATCTCTCAAAAATATATAAGCATTAAAAAATTATCTGGTATCTTATCCCTAAGGATAAAACTCTTAATACTTTGGTATATTTCCTAGACTAATATTTATTAATTTCAGAGATACATTTTTAATTTTTAAATTGCCCTTAAGTAAAAACAATTGATTCTGGAAGATATATATGAAATTTTACCTTCCACAAATGTGTGTCTAAACAAAGCTAACTTACAACTACAGTTGCCAGTTTAATTTTAGTCATTTTACCTGTAATGTCAAATTTTATAGTGAACTAGAGCAATGGGCTTCATTTGCTAGACTTACTGCTTTCTGATCTTAGAGAAAATATTTGTAAAAATGTTTTTTAAACCATCAAATATTAATCTTCATTTCCACACACAAGCATTTATATACCATCTCCCTCTGGCAGTCACTGTGCCCGATGTAAAAGATAAACTCTGAGTAAGATAAAGTTGTGAGAAATTCTAAGAAGCTTAGTCAACAATGAAAACCTAAAATGGGGGTCTGAAGTTAGATGGGTGGGTCAGACACCCTGTCTTGGGAAATCCACACTTGAAGTGAAGTATGAAAGGAGATGCATATAGAAGGCAGTGTTTGTGACGGGGCAAGGATCACAGGGGTCAGTGAAATGAGTTTCAATGAACTGAGAACTGGGAAAGTCCTCTGTGCAAAGAACAGGAAGAAGATGCGCAAGGAGGAGGGCCATGCTAGGTGAGGCTGAAGTGGCCTACAGGAGCCAGGCCATGCTAGTCATTACAGATTCGGACTTTATTTCCTAGACAGAGGAAAGCCATTTAAATGTTTTGGCTGAGGGGAATAATATCAGAATTTGGGTTGTAGTTTTCAAGATTGTCATACTCTCAAGTCAAAGGTAGATTGAAAGAGAGTCAGAGAGTTTGCGAGGAGACCATAGAAGATACAGTACAGTCCAAGATAAAGATGATGGTGGCCTGGACTAGAATGGTAATGAAGGAGATGCAGCAACAGTGATGGAGTCAAGAAATATCCAAATGCTATAGGCAAGACTTGGTAGATTATTTGTTATTGGAGATAAGCTACAGATGACTTCAAGAATGCTGCTTCGATATCCTACAAACTTTCAGCAAATAGTGGCCACTCTTACTCTTATTACTAAGAATTTAAGTATCATATTTTAATTTTTTAAAATCACCTTTTAAGACTGGAATTATATTTTACAAATTTAGTAAAATAACCACAATTCTTTGACAATACGGAAACACAATAAAAACTATTAAGAGAGCAAGACCGGAGTTATAAGAATCCCTGTTTCCTCTCCTAGGTTGTGGCTCAATTAAATTTAACCTAGCAGAATTGGTTGAACAACTATGATATTCTGGGGACCATGGCAGATTCTGGAAACCGAAAAATGAATTAGATCCTCCACTTACTTCATTGCACCATTTCTTGACCTCTTTGCTATTTTCCAAGCCATCTACATGTTTCCACTTCTGGGCATTTGCACATGCTTTCCCTTATGTCTGGAACATTTCTTACCATTATAAGACATGCATTAATTTGCATCCTGGTTCTTCCCAAGAGAGTATAAATTGCTTAAGATTAGGAACTTTGACTCACTGCCGTTATCCCCAATGCCTAGCATATAGTTCAAAGACATTTAATAAGTATTTGTTAATATATTAATGACATATCTGTGTATGAATATGTATATATGTGTACTCCTTACTAATATATTTAACCTTTCGTAGTTCAAGTTTTAAGTGTTTTTTAAAATTATTATTATGTTCTATGCAGTTTTGCCTTTAGTCATAAGCTGGTGTTTCAACCTTGTCTTTTCTCTCTCTCTTCTTTAGGCATGGAATGCAACTTGTCCAAATTGGCTAGCAGCAGAGATTGCCCTGGAAAAGTACTACCTTTCCATTTTGTATGGGATTGAGTTTATTGTGGGAGTCCTCGCAAATACTACTGTTGTGTTCGGCTACCTCTTCTGTCTGAAGAACTGGAATAGCAGTAACATTTATCTCTTTAACCTCTCTATCTCAGACTTGGCTTTTTTGTGCACCCTCCCCATGCTGATAAGAAGCTATTCTCATGGAAAGTGGACATATGGGGAGGTGCTCTGCATCAGCAACCGATATGTGCTTCATGCCAACCTCTACACCAGCATCCTTTTTCTGACTTTTATCAGTGTTGATCGATACCTGCTTATGAAGCATCCTTTCCGAGAACACTTTCTGCAAAAGAGAGAGTTCGCGGTTTTGATCTCTTTGGGTATTTGGGTTTTAGTAACCCTAGAGCTACTGCCCATACTTCCTCTTATAAATTCAAATATAGCTGCCAACAGCACCAACTGCATTGATTACGCAAGCTCTGGGGACCCCGAATACAACCTCATTTATAGCATGTGTCTAACCTTCTTGGGATTCCTCATTCCTCTTTTGGTGATGTGCTTCTTTTATTTCAAGATTGCTCTTTTCTTAAAGCAGAGAAGCACGCAGCTTGCTACTGCTGTGCCCCTTGAAAAGCCCCTCACTTTAGTCATCATGGCAGTTGTGATCTTCTCCATGCTTTTTACTCCCTACCACATCATGCGGAACGTGAGGATCGCTTCACGCCTGGGAAATTGGAAGCAGTCCCGATGCGCTCAGGCCACCATCAACTCCTTATACATTGTGACTCGGCCTTTGGCCTTTCTGAACAGCACCATAAACCCTGTCTTCTATTTCCTTTTGGGAGATCACTTCAGAGAGATGTTGATGAGTAAGCTGAGGCACCAATTCAAACCCCTTACATTCTTTAGAAGATGAAGTCATGGACTGATGTTTCCATTCAGGAAAAAGTGAGATACTTGTTTACTACACTGTTTTGTATGTGAAACTGTAGGCCAAATAGATTTTGATTTAACTCATAGACATAAATCAGAGACGGAAAGACCTGACACTGTTTTAAAGACACACTGTGCCCAGAGTCTGTGAAAAGATAATGAGAAGTATTTATCGGTTTCTTCACCTAGGAATTGAAAGGCATTGGACTGGCATTGTCTAATGTTTGAACATATAAGCCCCAAACCATACGTGTTCTAAGACTTTCTCAATCAGTGTAAAAAAATAGAAGATACATAAAGCAGCATTTCATCATCACCCAGATTGTGAAAAAAAATGTGTTGGCAATATTCTCTATGTTATTCTTATCCATTTGATCTTATAACTTAATGTGAAATTGACTACCAGATTAGAAATAGACTATTAAAGATTGTTGTTAGAAATTGGGTGTCTCGGTGGCTTAGTCGGTTAAGCGTCCAACTTTGGCTCAGGTCATGATCTCATGGTTAATGAGTTGGAACCCACATTGGGCTCTGTGCTGACATCTCAGAGCCTGGAGCCTGCTTCAGATTCTGTGTCTCCCTCTCTTTCTCTGTTCCTCCTCCACTCATTCTGTCTCTCTCTCTCTCTCTCTTTCAAAAATAAATAAAAACATAAAAAAATTTAAGAAAAAAGAAATTGTCCTCTTCAACAAAATTTAAAGTCAACCATAACAACAAGCAAGAAAGCAGTATAATGAGTTCAAGGATGTCTATATGATATCTCTTTGTATTGATCATGAATTGGAGTCAAGTTGTAATTATAAGTCCTATTTTGTTGCATGGTTTTTAGTAAAAAGAATCATATTAAATGGAATCTAAAGAGATGGTTCAGCAACAAAAGAGACATGTTTGAGCTTGTCTCTCAGGGAATTTAGGTGTAAATGATTTTACCAAAATACAAGAAGAGACATAACAAGGAAAGTTGCGAAAATCTCAGAGTTATAGAACACAAAGTGCCTATCGGAAAACTCAAAGCATGAGTTTAGGCCTTAGGAAAGAAGTGTTTAGTCATTTCTGCAAACTTAGAAACATATAATTTAATTGTAATCTGTTTTTTATGCATGGCTTTTAATTTGCAAAGATGGAATTAAATTTACCCTAGCCTTATCCAAAGGATAGGAACTCTCTTAAATAGTGCAGTGAAATATTTTATAGAACCACAAACTCTCAAATATATCTTGTAACCAAAGTGTTAAGTAATTTCATAGCATATTTCTTCATCTTTTTCTTGCTCAAGTCTGTCATCTGGCAGCTTAATCCTCAACAGACTAGAGACCTGCACTAAAATTATAAAAGCTATTCCATTTACTTTTTGTACTAGGTGATTGTAAGAATTATAAACAATAAATAACGGAAATCCTTTCTGGATTTGTAGTTTTCAAAAGAAATGATGCTGGGCTTTTGTATCTTGTCTTTTGATTGGTTCCTTATTGTTTTTAGAATCATGTCTAAACTAGTTGGTCCAGCATTTTACCACCTGGGCCCATCAATATTATCATATGTTATTTCCCACAACCATTGTCACAAACTATACTCTCCAGCCAAATGTGGTTATTTCATTTCATTATACGCAGAACTTTCTTCACTGTGCACAGATGAATGCTCACTCCTGTTCCATCTTGCCCATGTATAAAATTTTTATGCATCTTTTAAGGTCTGTGTCATCTGTTGCTCCTCCTGAAAGCCTTCCTTTTAAGTTTTTCTCCTCCACAGATCTGGAAATAAATGAATTATTTTTGCACTTATAACATAGTTGTTTAGAGTCAAGTCAACTCCAAAATCTGTGAATAGAAGAACCACATCTAACTTTTTTATTGCCCTTCTAGAACATAGCCAAGGTATATTTTAAATGGTTGTTGGGATGCCTGGGTGGCTCAGTCCATTGAGCGTCCGACTTCAGCTCAGATCATGATCTCAACATTCCCGAGTTTGAGCCCCATGTTGGGCTCTGTGCTGACACCTGAGAACCTCGAGCCTGTTTCAGATTCTGTATCTCCCTCACTGTCTCTGCCCCTCCCCGACTCATGCTCTGTCTCTCAAAAATAAATAAACATTAAAAATTTTTTAAAAAATAAATGTGGTTTATTATGAATTAATGTTCTTAAAAAATTGAACTCAATCCTCCTTTTTAGTGTACATGATTGAGCTACTTTCTGTCATCATCGCTTTTATAAGTACTGCTATCTTATATAAAGAATAGAGTGTATATATATACAAACACATGTGCCAGATGCCATTGCACCATCCCTTATGAGCATAGTTTTACTTGTTGCTAAAAATCTGTGTCTCCTAGTTCAGAAGTTGGGTCATATCAAAGTTGATCCCCATTAATTGTCTTTTATCTTAAGTATGGGCCACAAATTCCTGCCCATTTTTTCATATCTAATAAATTTGGATTATGTTCTGGACGTTTTGAATAATATATTGTGGAGTCTCTGGATTCTGTTATATTCCATGGAAGAGTACAAAATTTTTAAAAATTTTTCACAGCTGAACTCGAACTCCAAACTCCGCAGTCTCATTTCAGTTATTTTAGTCTTATCTGAGCTATTTATAGTCTTTCCAGCACATCCATACTTCAGAAGTCAGCTGGAGTCATCATCAAGACAGTATGGTATTGGCACAAAAACAGACACATAGACCAATGGAACAGAATTGAGAACTCAGAAGTGGACCCAAAAGTATACAGCCAACTAATCTTTGACAAAGCAGAAAAGAATATCCAATGGAAAAAAGACCGTCTCTTTAACAGATGGTGCTGGGAGAACTGGACAGCAACATGCAGAAGAATGAAACTAGAGGGGCGCCTGGGTGGCTTAGTCGGTTAAGCGTCCGACTTTCGCTTAGGTCATGATCTCGCGGTTAGTGGGTTCGAGCCCCGCGTCGGGCTCTGTGCTGACTGCCAGCTCAGAGCCTGGAGCCTGTTTCAGTCTGTGACTCCCTCTCTCTCTGACCCTCCCCTGCTCACGCTGTCTCTCTTTCCTAGAAATAAATAAAGCATTAAAAAATAAAAAAAAAAAGAAGAAGAATGAAACTAGATCATTTTCTCACACCACACACAAAAATAAACTCAAAATGGATAAAGGACCTGAACGTGAGACAGGAAACTATCAACACCCTAGTGGAGAAAGCAGGAAACAACCTCCTTGACCTCCACCGCAGCAACTTCTTACTTGACACATCCCCAAAAGCAAGGGAATCAAGAGCAAAAATAAATGATTGGGACCTCATCACGATGAAAAGGTTCTGCACAGCAAAGGAAACAACCCACAAAACTAATAGGCAACCAATGGAATGGGAAAAGATAGTTGCAAATGACATATCAGATAAAGGGTTAATATCCAAAATCTATAAGGAACTCACCAAACTCCACGCCCGAAAAACAAACAACCCAGTGAAGAAATGGGCAGAAGATATGAACAGACACTTCTCCAAAGAGGACATCCAGATGGCCAACAGACACATGAAACGATGCTCAGCGTCCCTCCTCATCAGGGAAATACAAATCAAAACCACACTGAGATACCACCTCACGCCAGTCAGAGTGGCTAAAATGAGCAAATCAGAGAACTCTAGATGCTGGCGAGGATGTGGAGAAACGGGCGCCCTCCTACACTGTTGGTGGGAATGTAAACTGGTACAGCCCCTCTGGAAAACAGTGTGGAGGTTCCTCAGGAAACTAACAATAGAACTCCCCTATGACCCAGCGATAGCACTGCTGGAATTTACCCAAGGGATACAGAAATGCTGATGCATAGGAGCACATGTACCCCAATGTTCATAGCAGCACTCTCCACAATAGCTAAAACATGGAAAGAGCCTAAGTGTCCATCAATGGATGAATGGATCAAGAAGATGTGGTTTATCTATACCATGGAATACTACGTGGCAATGAGAAACAATGAAATCTGGCCATGTGTAGCAACATGGATGGACCTTGAGGGTGTTATGCTGAGTGAAATAAGTCAGGCAGAGAAGGACAAATATCATATGTTTGCACGTATAGGAGGATTAGGAGGAACTTAACCGAAGACCGTAGGGGAGAAGAAGGGGGGAAATGGTGAGGGAAAGGGAGAGAGGCAAACCATGAGAGACTCTTGAATGCTGAGAAACAAACTGAGGACTGATGGATGTGGGGGGGGGGAGGGGGGGATGGGCATGGAGGAGGGCACTTGTGGGGATGAGCACTGGGTGTTATATGGAAACCAATTTGACAATAAACTATTTGTAAATAAATAAATAAAAATAAGCACAAAATAAAATAAAATAAAATCCTTCCTTAAGTTATATATGTCATGTTGAATTTTTATGTATATGCATAGATTATATTAACTAGAGCTTAATTTTAGCATGGTAAAGGAGGTGACATATTTGTTATTAAAATAAGTTCATTTGATCTGAAAGCTCATTGGAATTGTTTTGCAATAAAGATTGAAGTATGATAAAAAAAAAGTCAGCTGGAGACTTTAGTAGAATTTGTGTATCAGATGTGCAGTTCCCTTTATGTAACTCTCTCTTCTTTAGGGTTCTTTCCCCTTCACTTTCCAGTTGCTGAATTTAACCTGGATTCATTCTTTGCTTTCTTCTGTCAGATAGACTGTGGGTTTCTATCTGGAATTTAGCAAACCTGCCTGGCTTGATAAGGATCTGTAGCCAGGCTAAAATTACTTTAAAAAGTAACTGTGAATGTCACTCAGTGCCTTTTATTTCTGCCAAGTATTGATTCCTTTCCTGTGCTTTGTTTTGTTGAGTCTTTAGTATCTTTATGCATTTGACTGTTTATATATTCCTAGAGTTTAGAGATGTTCCTTGCAGGAAGTGCAGTTCAGCGTTACCAAAGCAGAAACCTTTTTATGTTAGAATTAATAAGCCTAACTAGATAATGTAACTATATATCATAAGTGGTTTAAATTCCCACCCATAGCTTCTAAATATTCTTAAAGATTTATTTCGTAATGACCATTATTTGACTCTATCCTCTGCATTTATTCATGCTTTCTCCATTTTCCCTTGCACCAGTTTTGGCTTTAAACCTAACCTCTGCAATAATTCCAACAAAAAAGTAGTTTAAAAAAAAACCAATAATTTTTTTAAAAGCAAATAGCATCCACTGCCCATTGTCTTACCTTTTGCTAGTCTCCATACCTTCCTCATCCTGAGTCCCACTTCATACTTTAAGAAGGGTAATTTTGCCTCACTTGGAGACTTTGGTACCAAAAATATTTGAGTACACAGTGGTCTTAACAATTAACTCTTCTAAAACAAATGTAAAATTGTTCCTAAAAGGAATTATTGTCTCAAATCCAAAAAGAATTGAAAAGCTGTCATTTTATAGACATTTTCTCACTTTCCAATGATAAATACTTAAAACATTTTTCTTGTCTGTTGTTGTAGGAAGGAAAGTGTGCAAAGAAACACCTTGTCCTCCTGGAGAATTTTTTTTCA